AAAGAGGTTGATATCCGAGATGGTTTATATTAAAAAACAGACACATGGCATAAATAAACAAAATGATACGGAGTCATTACCCGATATGTACACAAACATGATATAGTCCTTCTCTACCTCTTAGACTGTTTTCATTCGTCTTTGCCTCTTTTAAATAATATGCTTCTTCACTGCGTTTCTTGACATTAACATAATAAGTCGATAAAGCTGTAAAATGGATTATATTAAATCTGAATTGTTATAATATTTTATCATGGACGACATTACACTTTTTATACATTATGGAATTTTACATTATTGACATTAGTTATTACACAACCTTGAACAAGGTAACTATCTTTTAACACTTGTTTAACATGTTATTTAAGATTCTTATAATAAATTATATGAATTTTATTAGATTGAATTTACTGTTATTGGATTAACTTTTACATGATGACTACAATTTCAAGATGCGAATTATTTCCGGACATTATCATTTATTAATTTGCGACACGGAAATTTTATAATATAATTTATTTTTATTTTTGTTACATTGAAAATGACCCGATCGGAGTCGAAGCGTCTGTATTAAATTTTAAATTTTATATTATACTTATATTATACTTAATTTGAAAAATTTTTCTTGCGTTTAGTATTTGGCTGATTGCCCTTATTATTACTCCTATTGTTTTATACTTATTGGGCCTTATTTTATATTATATTAATATATAAAATTTAAATTGTTATTTTGGTTGTATGAAATCTAAAGCTCAGAATTTTTTTTGTACACCTAATATTTAATTAAATTATTTTTTAAAAAGGGGGAAAATACACTCTAAATTACATTTTTGTATTATTCAAGTCTTGTAGAAGCAAGAAAACAAACATACTTTATCGCAATAATTTTGTCCACCTAGATTGCGAAAATACCCCACTGTGCGTCGCTTCGTTAAAAAGTTCTTAACAAAAAAGTTTCAAAAATAATGTACAATTTCTGCTATACATATACGATATTAAGTATTATTTTACACCCTCTCCCTCTGTTTAGAAATGTTAAACTTTCCACGCGAAGCAACTCTCACCCCCCTCCCTCTCGCATGAAGCGCATAACTTCTATGATTGTACTGTTGCACGTAGGTTTCAACTTTCCGTGCGAAGCGAGAGCTATCTCACACCAACAAATGGATTGGGTTAGATTAACATGAAACAACCTAACATCCGCGCGGACCAGCTCGCCGGAAATTCTACGAGTCGCGGTAAGAGGTTCGCGCGGGGAGAGAAAATGCAGAAACGAATACGAGTAATTCAGACGAGAGACAAACGTTTATTTGTGTTACGTATGATCTGTGTACAAGTGTATGTGTGTGTGTTTGTGTAATGTACAAAGGTGTGTGTTCGTGTAATTTATAAATGTGTGTGTTCGTGTAATGTTACAAATGCGTGTATTCGTGTCGAATGTATGTGTGTATCGACGAGACGGCAAACAGACGGGACGTATACAAGACGCATACAGAAAAACCGGTGGTGTCAATTGCGGCGCGAGTGCTACGAAAACAAGGGGAATCTTTAAATCCCATGCCGGACGCGGGAATCGCGGTCGGCGGTACGAGTATTTCGCGTACGCGTGGTATACGCCAGCGGCGGTAAATGATCGCGGTGCGAATAGTCGACGGGCGTTTCCTCAATGCGGTGAGGAACGCTTCGCGGTATTAACGAAGGAGCGTATATGCGCTAGCGACCGACTGCCGAGAACGCTTGGCGGAGACGGAAAACACTCCACCCCCTTGTCTCATCGGTTCGCTAGTTAAGATAGGAGAGCGATCGCACGGGCACGGGGCGGTCGAATATCGAGAACGCTCGGCGGAGGCAGAGAACGCTCTACCGCCTTTTCTCGTCGTAACGCTGGCGGAATGTGTGAACTGATGATCAACTGTCGAGAACGCTCGACGGAGGCAGAGAACGCTCTACCCCCTTCTCTCATCGTAGTCACTGGCTTACTGATTCTGGAGACTGGTAGTTAATCAGAGCGAAGAACTGGATGGAATTGATTGCTCGGAGCAATAATTACGCATTTCATACTAATTATTGCTCCCGCTTGTATTGTTACGTGAATTTTCGGTCGCGTTCGGAGATCGGCGGTCCTTGCGGAGGGGATCGTCAATCGGTGATATTCAGTCGCTTTCGGTCGGAGCGGCGGTTAACGTGAAGCGTTCGGCGATCTTCGGTCGCGTTCGGTCGAAGCGGCGGTTGCTACTGTCGAAGCCGAACTTAATATAAGTGTGTAAAAATATATGCGAGCGCATCGCGCCCTCATCGTTGCACTGATTCTTACCAGTGCAACGGCATCCGGCTGGATCGGCTGCCGGGAACGATGCGGTTCCGGGCGCAATGTTACATATTTTTAACAGTAGTGGAGCCTCCCCCGCAGGGGGTCGGAACCTACTGCCATAATTATTCAAAAACGACGTAAGATTACATTCAATATATACACTTTTAGTGTGCGTGTAGAGGCAGTAGGTTTCGCCTCCCCTGCGGAGGGGTTCCACACTGTTAAAAATAACCATCCTATTTGTTGGTGTGAGGTAGCTCTCGCTTGGCGTGGATAATCGTAAACTGCTATGTTTACGAAAATTATGTACCTATAGAATTTTGTGACGACTTTCACGCGAAGCAACTACTTCTTCTGCTCTGTAAAGAGGTGTATGACTTATTGCTTTCTCTGTTCATGCCATTCCTAATATACAATTTCACATGATTACATTGTTCATTTGTTTTGGTGGGTATCACGCTTGTATTTACAAATTTTGATCGCACAGTCTTACTTATTGTTAGTTCTTCAAATAGTAAGCATTCAGTTGCTACTTCTAATTCTGAATATATTTGTACAAGTAATAGTGTATATTGATTATATTTTATATTCCACGTTTTGGTACAAGAGAGAACCATTATGAACATTATATAGCTGAATTTTTGTTCAAAAGACTATATACTATTGATAAACGTATTGAACGATTTTTTAAAGTAATCAGTGATCCGTTAGAATTGTAACAGAATTCTACATAGATATTCAATGTTCATTTAACATTATTGTCATTTACTAATGTTTTATTTATTATATTTAACAGAAATAAAACATTATTTCTTCAAACTTTTTTGTCAATAACTTTTTAACGAAGGACGACGGCTAAAACTTGTTGGAGGTTACTTAGGATGACATTGATCACATATGTCAAGGTCAGAAAAATCGGAGCTGCTTCCGTTATTCTAGATATTTACCTATGTTTCTTCAAAGTATTATAAAAAAAAAATCATATCATAAAAATAAAAAGATCAAGCCATGTTCAAAAAAAGGTATTAAAAAATTTAAAACTTTTTATCTAATAATAATATATTATCACGAAAAGTAACTGATATATTATTAATTAAAGGTGCTAGTTCAAAGTGAATATACGTGTATGTAACTTTCGGCCGACTTTCGAATCGCCTCCGTCTTCCGCTGTCCCCCTCACCTTACCGCGCGTGGTCCAAATGCCGCACGACGCTCGTGCGATATTTGATCTGCACGATAAGCAGTGAGGTGAAGATGACAGCGGAAGGCGGAGGCTATACGAAAATCGACCGAAAGTTACATACACTTTATGTATGTTCACTTTGAACTAGCATCTTTTATTAATAATTATCAGTTACTTTTCGTGATAATATATTATTATTAGATAAAAAGCATTAATGTAAAGCATTTCTGATATCAATCGTTTATGATAAAAACTTTCGCAGTCCAAAATATTCACATTATTCCAGTTAAATTCATGATCCAACCTATGATCCGTGATAACAGATTTGGAAGAAGTATTCCTCCGTATATGATTACGATGTTCGTTAACTCTTGTTATCAATTTTCTCTTAGTTTGTCCAACATAGGTTGCATCACAATCATTGCATTTTATTTTAGATTACATTCATTTTTGTATCGTGTGGAATAGAATCTTTTTGTACATTAATATAATCATTCAATTTGTTAATACTAAAGAAAGAAATTTTATGATTGAGTCCATTAACAATGTTATTGAATCTTTCAGAAAATCCTTTTATGTAAGGTGTAATTAACTAATTTATTTTCTTTCTTATTATGTTATTGTCATTAGAATTAAGTTGTGACGGCTTATTTATAATTGATTTAATTCTTTTACTGACATTTTCAAAAATGAAGTCCAAAGGATAGTCATTAAGTAACAAGATATCAATTATGAATTTTAAATTTTTCTCATGAAAGTTTGGATGCGAAAGTAAAAACGCCTTATCAACCAGTCCAAAAATTACTCCAATTTTTTGTGAAACGGGGTGTTAAGACCTAAATTAAGGCGACAAATGATGATGATCCGAAACTAAGGATCGAAACGTTTGACATAATATCTATATTATAGATTTTAAGATTGTATTTTTGCGCACTGCTAACAGCGTTGACTCTTAATAGCCTTTATGTATTTACTCAATTTTTTGTATTGTTTTAAAACATATAAGAGTCTGTAATTCAATTATATTATTAATTTATTAAATTTTTTATGACCGGAGACACTACCGCGTCTCCTGATACCTATATGAAAAATCTTTAAGGGGATGCTTGAACCGCCTGTATTATCGATAAAATTACCGTTTTTGACGTTTCCGTTTCTGTCTAATTTCTTCGTGATGGTTTCTCAGAATAAAAATTTCTTTTCCACGATTTAAATATTCAGACTAATGTATCAGCCTCTGATGTATTTTGTGTTCAAAGCTAGAAGAGGTATGAAATTATAGATATCTTTATCCATTTAACATTAGTATGGCGACCAACGCTCAAGATAAAAATGGATAATAAAATCTGTAATTAGAAGCATTATTGCATGAAGATTCCTGTCAAACGCAAGAAGCACTTACGCTTACATTAGGAGTGACTCAACCAGCAATTTTACATCGCTTAAAATCATTGGAAATGATTCAAAAGCAAGGAAATTGGATTCCATATGAACTGAAGCCGAGAAATGTTGAACGCCGATTTTTCACATATGAAATGCTGCTTGCCAGGCATAAACGAAAGGGTTTTTTTGCATCGTATAGTCACTGGTGATGAAAAATGGATCCACTATGATAAACCAAAGAAGAAGAAATCATGGGGACCACCTGGCCATGCTTCAGCAGCCAAGCCGAACATTCATGGAAAAAAGCTCATGTTGTGTATTTGATGGGATCAGCTTGGTGTCATGTATTATGAGTTGCTCAAACCGAACGAAACCATTACTGGGGCTCTCTACCGAACACAATTGATAAGATTGAGCCGAGTACTCAAGGAAAAACGCGCCCACTACTACTCCAGACACGATAAAATTATTTTTCTGCATGATAATGCTCGTCCGCATGTTGCGGCGCCGATGAAAACCTACTTGGGAACACTCAATTGCGAAGTTTTACCTCACCCGCCGTATTCACCAGACATTATTCCTTCTGGTTACTACTTGTTTCGATCGACGGCACATGGCCTGTCTGAGCAACACTTCACATCATATAAAGATAACAAAAATTGAGTTGATTCGTGGATAGTTTCAAAAGATAACCAGTTTTTTCGAAGTGAAATCCACCAATTACCAGAAAGATGGAAAAAAGTAGTGGTTAGCGGTGGACAATACTTCGAATAAAACATTAAATACCGTTCTTTCACAATAAATGCCCAATTTTTGATAAAAAAACGGCGGAAACTTATTCATACTCCTAATAATAATTTGTCATTATGCAACAGAGGTTTTTACACAATACTAAGAAGAATACAACTCTACAACGCAAAAGCTATTTTGCAGCTGGAATTAGCTGGGGTAGCGGCTACCCACTATGGGGCTACCCATCCTTCAATATACACCCCCTTCCCTGCCAACAGCGTTTACATACCAAAGAGTCCCCCACGGGTAGCGGCTCAGTATCAATGCATCCCTCGCTCTGATAAAGTGAACGGCATGGTTCACGAAACGTTGGCATTAATAATGAAGAAAGACACGGTGATAACTCGCAAACCTTTTGGTATAATTGAAGAAAATATCCATGAAAGCCTCAAAAGCATTGACATACCTATTGTAGTTCAATACCTGTTACAGTTAGGTGAAGGTTTTGACCTTTCCATTAACTAAAATTTCATTAGAAGAATTTATGATAGCAATTAGATTAATATTCTACTGTTTTTATTTTTAACAATAAATATTACAAACAAATATTTAGAACCCCGATGGGATATCCATTATCGTTACATACTAGAATACAGTCCACTATGGAAGTTGGTAATGAAGGAAAAATGAGTTATTGAGATATTGTGATTATTGTTAAACAAGGTGGTTTGATTTTCGATGGTTATCGCGCAAAGCCACCTTTTCTGGAAGATTCCTCAATTTTCATTCACACTATCCTGTATATTATAAAAGAAGTGTAATACATGGTGTTGTCGATAAGATATTCCATTTGTGTCATCCAACATTCCAACAAAATAATTTAATAGATGCTGTTCCGGAATAGGATAAGTTTCGCGCCACAAAGCCGAATAAAGGATCGATTGCGCCATCCATCGATTCCGTCCGTGAATCTTTCATCGCACTCACCGCGCCGTCTTGCGAATATCTTTACTACAATTTAGCCGCATATTTGGATACCGATGTCGCTGTCGGCCTGCCGATTCGTCGCGCTAATCGCGCAGCGCGATTCTACCCTCAGACACAAATCAGTACTTGCCGTGTCAAGTTGTGTTCTCAAATTACTCGTTGAAAGCAGCAGCTTTCTTTCTACGGGTTCGCTACCGCGACTCGTTACTTTTGTACATCTCATCACGGCTACCGTCGTGGATGAGTCTCGGCGTATTAACAGCAGATAATCGCTTCTCTCGCCGTGCCACGCGAATAACACTGCGTTTATTTATGGTGAATAAAACTTGCATACAACAAGTTAAAAGAAGTGCTCAGTGTTCTCAATCGTCCAGTCCACCAATCCATTCCGTCATTTGGAGATCGAAGCAGCGATTTCACACACATAAAGAACATTTTGGTCCTTCGAGCCGGATTCGTGGCGGATAAACAACAAGGGACATTGTGACTCTTCGTTCACTTTCGTGAACGTAAGTGACGTGGCACATCGCAAGATTTCCGTTTCGAGCATACCAAGTACGGAAACCTCTCAAACTCATAATGGAAGATTTACTATCGCAGCAGCGATTAGCTATGAGCTCTGTCACAGACAGAGCGCATTGGAAAACTTTAAGAAGATCGGCCGTGCAAATCACACGTACGGCATAGTTCGGAATCGCCTTCAAACTCTCAAGGAGACTTACGCTCGATGCGAGCTCCTGCACGCACAACTGCTCAAAGTCGCCACCAAGGAACAAAAGGATACCGAGAAATACTTCAAGGAGGATGTCTACATCGAATTGGAGGACGCCTACCTCGCAGCATCGGACTACATCTCCGACGCCCTCGCCTCTCTCGAAGCAGATCAAGCGCCATCAAGTCCAGGGTTATCCGTGAGTCAATCACAGAAATTCGAAAAAACTCTTACATTACCGCGCATTAATTTGCCGAAATTCTCCGGTGATTTACGGGAATGGGAAACGTTTCGCGATCAATTCCGCTCCATGATTATCGATCATGCCGAGTTATCGAATGTTACGCGCTTGCAATACCTTTATTCATGTTTAAAGGACGAAGCACGCGACGCGTTGCGTAATCTCCCTTTGACAGAAGCTAATTTTAAAATCGCGTGGAATGTACTGCTCGCGCGTTACGATGATAAGCGTCGATTAGTGTTGGAACATATTCATACGCTTCATACGCTACCGGCCGTTAATACCGATTCCGCGCAAGATCTTATGTCGCTTCGAGATAAAGCTAATATGTCAATTCAAGCGTTAAAAAATCTCGGTCGTCCAGTTGAGTGGTGGGACGATTTGCTCGTCTATCTAGTCGTGCAAAAATTAAATAAAGCCACGCGTAAAGCATGGCAATTACATTTAGGCGATAAAACGGAATATCCGTCGTATACGGATCTTTATAACTTCCTCGCATCGCGAATTCGAGCGTTCGAGAATATTCCAACGACCAATACGGTCAAAACAAAACCGAGCAAGTCGTCCGTGCAAAGTCACACGACGACCGCTACCGGAGCTCATTGTCCGCTTTGTAAACAAGATCATCTCTTGTCAGTATGTCCTGATTTCAAGAAGAAACAGGTTAACGAGCGTCGCGATCTTATTGTCAAATTTAAACGATGTCTCAACTGTTTAAGCGCTCGACATTTCGCGAACACATGTCCGAGTAAACATAACTGTCGTCAATGCCAACAAAGGCATCATACGATGCTTCACGAAGCGACGACATCAAGCGCGACCGAGAATTCCCTTGAATCCAACGAAACGAATACGTCAAATGAAAACAACGTCGTTTCACATTTAATTACGAAAACAACATTTGACAAATCTCGTGTTCTATCAGCTACCGCGCGGATTCAGGTGTGTTTTTCGTCTGGTCGCACAGATGTCATACGCGCATTGTTAGATCAAGGATCTGTCACTAGTTTAATTAGTGAAAATCTCGCTCAACGGCTACGGTTATCGCGAACACGCGTTGCTGTCTCGGTTACCGGAATCGGTGAAACGCAATCCGTTGCACGACATGCTGCTCTGATTTCGGTATCATCTAAGACCGGCAAGGGTCCGTCATACTCAACGACCGCAATTATTATGCGTTCTCTGACTAAATACACGCCGCCTAAAATAGCATATCAAATCTCTCTCGCTCATTTAAACGGCCTGCCATGGGCTGATCCGCAGCCCTCAAGTGCCGATCCAATCGAAATGATCATCGGCGCTGATCTATACGGTGCTGTTCTATTACCAGGCCTGTGCTCAGGTTCCTCTAATCAGCCAACAGCACAAAATTCCATTTTCGGCTGGATCATGTCTGGTCCGATTTCGACGAGTTCGTCTTCAAACATGTCTAACGTGACAGTTAATCATACCACGTTGCACGACAATCTCGATGACGAAATTCGTCAGTTCTGGGAAGAACTTCCGCAAGTACCATACCTCACTCCCGAGGAACAACGTTGTGAGGAACATTTCCGAACAACTCATTCTCGTGACTCTAATGGATGGTACGACGTACGGCTACCGTTCAAAGTCAATCCTCCGATTGCAATCGGCGAATCTCGTCACATCGCCTCATCACTTCTTTCACGGCTTGAAGGCCATCTTCAAAATAAAAAGGATATCGCATCCGAATATCGAGAGTTCCTACTGGAATACGAAAATCTCTGTCATATGAAGAAAGTAGACGAACCCGTCTCTGCTTCACAATCAGTTTACATCCCGCATCATGCGGTGATTCGCGAGCATAGCAGCACCACGCGGTTGCGCGTCGTGTTCAATGCATCTCAGTCGATATCGAACGGCTCTTCACTTAACGATCATCTCATGATCGGTCCTAAGTTACAAACCGACCTTCGTTCGGTAATTCTTCGATGGCGACAACATCGTTATGCTTTCACTGCCGATATTGCAAAAATGTATAGGCAAATTCAAGTCGATCCGCGAGATCAAGATTATCAGCGCATCTTATGGCGCTTTTCATCATCCGAAGCGGTGCAAGACTATCGCTTGCTTACTGTTACTTACGGTATGGCGTGTGCTCCATACCTCACTCTTTGTACGATTCAGCAATTGACGCAAGACGAAGGCGCTCAATTTCCTCTTGCTCAATCAGTTTTACGCAATCAAATCTATGTCGATGATTGCATCTTCGGCGCGGATGATAAGCCGCTTGCAAGGCAAATCTGCAATCAATTAATTTCACTGTTACAAAAAGGTGGATTCCTCCTCCGTAAGTGTGCAAGCAACTGCCCTACGTTACTCAACGACCTACCGGTCAATGAAAAGAGTCTAAGTCAAGGTAAAATTCTGCAAAGCGACGAAAGTTTCAAAGTCTTAGGCGTCACGTGGCTCCCTGCTACCGATACATTTCAAATTTCAGTCGAAGTTACCACGTCGATCCCAGATTCTAAACGGGAAATTCTGTCTACTATAGCAAAATTATTTGACCCGCTCGGGTGGCTTGCTCAGGTCATAATTACTGACAAAACTATCATGTAACAATTGTGGGCTATTAAGTGTTCATGGGATGATCCAGTTCCACCCCCGCTCATGCAGAAATGGCACAATTATCACACGCAGCTAATTAAACTGCGTAATATCTCTTTGCGACGATGGACTGCCTTCGGTTCCGACACAAGTCACTGTGAGCTTCACGGCTTTGCTGATGCGTCGTCCGTCGCATACGCCGCTGTCATATATCTTAAAGTTGTAACGATGCACCTCGGACTGCATCGTTCCCGGCAGCGGGAATTACTTATTGTATATCGTTATTATCGTATATGGTCATTATTCATCCATTGCGAATCTATTGTAACAAAGTCTCGTCGACAGTAGCTATCGCCGCTCCGACCGAAAGCGTCCGAAGATCGCCGAACGATCTGCGCTTCGCGCTATCCGCCGCTCCGACCGAACGCGACCGAACATCGCCGATCGACAATCCCCTCCGCAGGGATTGCCGACCGCCGGACGATAACGGAAAAGTCCGTAATAAAACGAGCGGGAGCAATAATTGGTATATAACGCGTAATTATTGCTCCGGGAGCTCTCTTCTATCCTAACCGCCGCTCCATTACGAACTCCGCTCCGATCCTAGCTCCGGTGATACAACGCAAAAAGGGGGTCAAGCGTTCTTGACAGTCGATCACCAAATTTCCTGATCCGCTGGCCGTACGACGCGAAAAGGGGGTAAAACGTTCTTTGCCTCCGTCAAGCGTTTTTGACAGCCGTACGCCAGTATCCTAGACTTAGCGCACCGGCGAGAAAAGGGGGTGGAGTGTTCTTCGCCTCCGCCAAGCGTTCTTGGCAGCCGGGCGTTAGAGTATCTGTGCCTTTTACATTCCGCGAAGCATCCCTCATTACATACAGGGAACGCCCACCGCGTTATCCGCGCCGCGATCGTCATCCGCCGCTGGCGTGTACTCCGCGTCTGCGAAAACCATCCGTAATACCGACCGCGCCCCGCGATTTCCGCGCCCGTATTGGGATTTAAAGATCCCCACGTGTTTTCCGCCGTACTCGCGCCGTAATTGATACGTCTAGTTTTTCTGTTCGTGCCGTCCGCATAATATCTTAGTTTTTCTGTCTCCGCTTCGTTGTTTTTCTGTACACGTCTTGTATCCGTCTCGTCCGTTTACCGTCTCGACAACATACACATACACCTGCGTACACCGACACACGACACACGACACACACCTGTTTACCATTTACGAATACCACACACACACACACACACACACACACACACACACACACACACACACACACACACGCGCGCACGCGCACGCGCACGCGCACGCGCACGCGCACACGCACACGCACACGCACACGCACACGCACACACACACACACACACACACACACGCGCGCGCGCGCGCGCACACACACACACGCACGCGCACGCACACACACACACACACACACACACACACACACACACACACACATTTGTAAATATACACGATACACGCAATAAACGTTTCTGTCTCTTGTCTTAAATTACTGTCTAATTATTAGTTTCTGCATTCTCTCTTTCCGTCCGAACCTTTTTCGCGACTAGCGAAATTTACGACGAGCTGATCCGCGCGGAAATTAGGTTGTTTTAAAGTGATCTCGCTCATGGGATCAGTTACTGTTTCGCTATTAATAGCAAAATCAAAAGTCGCGCCTCTTAAACACTTGACAATTCCAAGACTCGAACTATGCGCTGCTGTGCTTTTAGCACGAACAATGTCGTTTGCCAGAACGACATTAGAACTTTCGACAATTCCATGTCATTGCTGGACGGATTCAACCGTAACTCTCGCTTGGCTACGCCAATCTCCATCTCGATGGAAAACGTTTGTCGCGCATCGCGTGCACGATGTGCAAACTCTAATACCTGATGCCACGTGGCATCATGTTCCGACTCATCAGAATCCCGCGGATCTAGCATCACGCGGAGTTACCGCTTCCTCGTTCGCGGAGAGCTCACTGTGGTGGCAAGGCCCCGAGTGGCTCAAGCTTCCTTCAAGTATGTGGCCGAATGAATCTCGGCAAGATTACGACACCTCACTCGAAAACCGTTCGACCATCGTCGTACAAACTCTCGATATCGAATCTCAATGGGACTTAGCTTCCCGCTATTCTTCATGGCCGAAGCTTCTTCGCATAACGGCCTATCTAATCCGCTTTATTAATAAGCTTCGAAATCGTATATACAAAAATCGGTCGTCAAACGACGAATCCGATTCTATTCCATCCGATATAATTTCGGTGGACGAATACAAACACGCGCGACTATTTTGGTTACGCGTCATTCAACAAAATCTTTTTCTCGATGATGTGCGTCGATTAAAAAATTCGAAACCCGTAGCGAAAACTAGCAAACTAATCTCACTTAATCCATTCTTGGATGACGATAATTTAATTCGCGTAGGCGGTCGATTACGAAAATCCGACCTTTCATATAACGCTAAATGTTCTCTCATTCTAGCAGCACACCCACTCGTTACGTTGATAATTCATCACGCTCATCTGCGTTCGCTCCACGCGGGCACGCAACTAACATTATGTGTTTTAAGTGAAGAATTTTGGATTCTTCGCGCTCGTCAAACTGTGCGAGCCGTCTTGTATCGTTGCATTACTTGCACGCGCGAAAAGGCGGTTATCCCCAGTGAACTCATGGGCGATCTCCCGGCAATGCGCATTCGACAAGTCGATCGCGCATTCTTACATTGCGGACTTGAATATGCCGGGCCCGTTCCTGTCAGATTAAATTCAGGTCGTGGATGCAAATTTCAGAAGGCCTACATTGCCGTATTCGTCTGTATGACGACGCGAGCAATACATCTCGATTTAGTCAGCGATTATACTACCGCCGCGTTTCTCGCAGCATACGCGTGCTTCTGCTCTCGGCGCGGGATGCCGACCGATTTATATTCCGATAACGCAAAGAATTTTCGCGGAGCTGATCGCGAATTGAAAGCTGCAATTCATGCAGCAAAACAAGATTCAAACTTGCGAAGCAAACTGTCGTGCGACGGTGTCCGTTGGCACTTCATTCCCCCTTCCGCGCCTCACTTCGGAGGCCTATGGGAAGCCGGCGTTCACAGCGTCAAATATCATCTCAAACGCGTTATCGGTTTACACACGCTGACATTCGAAGTGCTTACGACGCTGTTCTATCAAATCGAAGCGTGCCTCAATTCACGTCCGATAGCTCCGATGGCAGATAATCTTGATGATTATTCATGTCTGACACCGGGTCATTTCTTAATTGGTAGCGCTCTCACAACGCCGCCATCTCCTACGCTACTAGAAACAAAAGAAACGCGCCTGACTCGCTGGCAACTCGTGAAGCAAAAAAGCGAAGTTATTTGGAAAGCATTGTCAAATGATTATTTAACCGGATTACAACAGCGCTCAAAATGACGCGTCGCTCAAAAACTTGCCCGAGTCGGACGCCTAGTTCTTTTGCGCGATCCCTTTGCACCACCGTGCAAGTGGGAACTCAGTCGTATCATTAAATGCCACACCCGAGACGACGGACTAACGCGCGTCGTCACTGTGAAAACGTCAAAATCGACGTATAAACGTTCCATAGTGAAGCTATGATTCTTACCCGTTGATTTAAACGAAACGTCCACATGAACGATTTCCTTTCGTGGCATTCATTGATCGAACTCCTTTAGCTCGAACTTACTGTATTATAAGTTAATGTTCTCATATACCTCTCTATGTAAATATTTCTATGTGTCTTTCTAAATCTAAGTAAAGTGTAAAGCGTCATGTATCATATGGTTTTAAACTCGATTGGCACGGCGGGCGGCATCAAATAATCTTGTTTCGGCTAGCCTAGCCGAGGCGGGCAGTATGTTCCGGAATAGGATAAGTTTCGCGCCACAAAGCCGAATAAAGGATCGATTGCGCCATCCATCGATTCCGTCCGTGAATCTTTCGTCGCACTTACCGCGCCGTCTTGCGAATATCATTACTACAATTTAGCCGCATATTTGGATACCGATGTCGCTGTCGTCCTGATTCGTCGCGCTAATCGCGCAGCGCGATTCCACCCTCAGACACAAATCAGTACTTGCCGTGTCAAGTTGTGTTCTCAAATTACTCGTTGAAAGCAGCAGCTTTCTTTCTACGGATTCGCTACCGCGACTCGTTACTTTTGTACTGCTTATCACGGCTACCGTCGTGGATAAGTATCGGCGTATTAACTGCAGTTAATCGTCTCTCTCGCCGTGCCACGCGAATAACACTTCGTTTACTTTGTGAATAAAACTTGCATACAACAAGTTAAAAAAGGAGTGCTCGGTGTTCTCAACCATCCAGTCCACCAATCCATTCCGTCATTCGAGATCTCAGTCGAGATCGAAGCAGCGATTTCACACATAAAGAACAGATGCCATCAACTTATTTTACAGAATGGATATCCTCTACATTTCATTTTTTCTACAATTCATAATAGAATTAAATTCCATATTAATAATATTAATTCTAACAATAATAATACTTTAAAAAAAATTTTTTTACTATTCCTTTTGTATTTAGTTTTTGATAAATTTAAACCTATAGTCAATACTTTTCAGTTGAAACATACACATAATCAGAATGTAGTATACAAAATATCCTGTGAGAATTACGATGCTCATTATGTTGTACAAACTAAGAGACAATTAAAAACTAGATCTAAATTAAAACGATTACCTAACCACAAAATAAAAAACCCAATAAATTTCAACCTTTGAAAATTAACCCCAAAAATTTGAACTTTTCTAAATTAAAATGATTATCTAATAATGTAACCTAATAATTTAAACCTTTAATATTTTAAATGATATTATCTAATATAATACATTACCACGAAAAGTAACTGATATATTACTAGATGTGCCAGTTCAAAGTGAACATACATTATGTATGTTCACGAAAAGTAAATCATTC